GAGTAGAGCTGTTATGTGTCCATGGTGTATGCAATATATACATGTAGTGCAGTTATGCTGAATATAGTGAGAATATATCTCACTCATTTGGGGTGCAAATTATTGTACTTTGCATTAAACAAGCTGAAGTAATGTGTACCGTACTACACTTTTTCTACAGTACTGTACTTTAAATGCTTATGTGCCAAATTTCTGCATTTTTAAGTAATAACTAGCATTATTAAACAAATATACAGTAAACAATTTTGAGAACACCACAATGATATATACTGTACATGTATCCCTGGGGCATCACAGTTAAGGCAGATCTACTGCACTGTGTTATTTGTTTATTAATCTGGCCACAATACTTGAATGGGGTGCAAATCTGCAAATAAAGACTTACAGAATTAGTGGAGAGAAGTCAGGGTGGCTAAGCGGTGAGGGATACTGTGCTGGAACTGGTCTCTCCTGAAGATTTCACAGCTCGGGGGTTGTGGGAGCCTGGTAAGAGCTAGCCAGGCGTGCTGTAGAAGCTGGTACCCTGGCTTCTTTAAAGAAATAGCTGGGTGAGATCGCTCAGTCGGTACAAGGAGGCACTTCTTCACACAAAGGGTTGTGGGAGTAAGTAACAAGCTGACCCCTGGCTTCTTTCAAGGAACGTCTGGATGAGATCCTTCGATCAGTCCCTATAGAAGAAAATGACCTGAATGACCACCTGTCATTGTTTACCTTTGTTGTAAAATTCCTATACCCCTCCCTGCCTGGGCTGTCCCATCATACCGCGTTTTGAAAAGAGCATGCCTCAGTCTTCTGTAGAAAGCATTTTGTGTTGCTCAGAGCAGACATGGACTGCTAAGAAACATGGATTATAAAAGCAAATAATTTGCTGTAATCATTTACAAAAATGATTAATTTTAACATTCAATTACAATATGTAATCTTTTCAAAGGCACAGAAACCCAACATTTTTTTTTCAGTTTAAGGGCAATTGTAACATCCAGTAAAATCCACAAATTACATTTACAGGAGTGGGGTGTGTGGGGTGTGAGGTGCGTGTAGTGTTTTTTAATTTGTATTTTTTAAGTGCATTTTAATTTGTATTTGTATTTTAATTTGTTTTAGCACTATGTTGCTGGACCTGGTATTTATTTGACAATTTCTGAGTTTGTAGTGTATTTGGTGAAAAGGTTTGTCAGTCATCAACGTATTAAACTTAATTCCAGTGTACTTAGAAACATAGTCTACATAACATAACGCACATAGGCAATAAATGACAGAAGTGACAGTGTGCTGTAGAGGAGGTACGACCCCAGTGGATTAATAATTATTATATTAAATGCTCTGAATATATTAATAATTATTATATTAACTGCTCTGAACAGCCGAGAAATAAGAAAAGTAAAGGTAGCTGCAGCACATATCTTAAGAACATTCAGCCGTCTAATCTGAATTTGTCTCATATTTACTGGAAAAGGATCTTGGAGTCGAGAAAAGAATTCATTTTAACCAGGTGTACTGCTCTTCACTTGACAGCCTCTAAACCTGCTTTGCATTTCAAAGTGATATCTGATCTGGGGATGTTTATTCTTATGCAGCATCTACACAGGTCTTGAGTAGTTAGTCATGTGAACGAGGGAAGGTCTTTCATTTCTCTTTTAATTACTATGGCCACAGGGCTCAAATATGGAGCACTTGGTTGTTTAGCGCCCTTGTTGTTTCACTTAATCTGGTCCTCTTAAAAACATTTGTCTCTCCTACAAAGCACACAGTGTTAAAATATTGACAAGGGGGGAATACAAACAACATATGGAGATGGAGAATAAAAAATTAAATCGGTATAATTAATTTTATGTATTTTCTTTTTTTCTAAGTTGTTAACTGGGGTGGAGCGGTGGCTCTGTGACTCAGGATCTGCGTCTGTGGCTGGAAGGTTGCAGGTTCAAATCCTGCGGCTGGCAGAGGAATCCTACTCTGATGGGCCCCTGAGCAAGGCCCTTAACCCCAGCTGCTTCAGGGGCGCTGTACAATGGCTGACCCTGCGCTCTGACCCCAAGCTTCTCTCTCCCTGTCTGTGTGTCTCATGGAGAGCAAGCTCCAAGAAATACAAGAAATTGTATATGGCTAATAAAGTGATCTTCCCTTATCTTAACTACAGATTAGTATGCCTGTATATACTGTACAGTCAATACCGCTCAGTGTTGTGAATAATTAAATGCTTACAGGCTTGTCAAATAAATATTAACATGTTGTGTCCCAGCTAGGTATTTTTTCTCCACTTAAGATGATTATAAAGACGAAAGGTGTGGAGGAAGAAAGAAGGCAAGGCAAGACAAGCTACAGACTTCTGAATGGGTTGGCGTGGGCAGAGAGAGTTGGCAAGTAAGGCAGTGGAGTATAATGTGTGCAGAAAGTTGGCCGTGGTAGTATTTTTAAATAGTGTGTGGTTCACGTCAGTGACTGTGGAGGATTGAAATGAGTTTTGACATTGCTTGTGATTCAGCTTGAATCACACTGAAGAGATTTGAAGTAAAAAGCGCATTTATAAAGCTGTGTGAAATGGTTTGGTATTTCGGAAGGATGCCTCTTGACCAGATGGAGCCCTGATCTCCTGTCAACTGCTAAGGGCTCGGCACTACTTTTAGACTTTATTCTGAAGTGAACCTTTACTGCTTCACTGTAAGGTTCTCCCCGAACACACTGCTGAGTGTCTCCCCACGCCTCATTAGACTGGAGTCACGTGGGACCTGGAAGAGGTGTTGGGTGTCCTGAGAGGGCTGAAGGCATTGAACCCCTTGTCATGTTTTTAACCCTTTATCAGCCCCAGCTTTACTGGGGTGCAGTCAAAATCATTCTGTGTTGCAGGCAATGAAGACAGGGTAATGGTGATTTGAATTATTCTTTAGATATTTTGTAAATCTGGCTTACCACTGTTTATCTGGTAGGTAGTCCAATTTTAATCTTAAAAGGTGTTGAGAATGCACAAATATATTAAGTTCATAAAGGTTTTAACAGTGATCCTCGTCATGATTGATATTGTACCTTAGAAAGAAATAACTTTTATGTGGTACAGTAAATGGCTTGTGCTAATTGTGACATGGGAATCGGTGATTTGACGTAGTAATGAATGTTTATATAAAAGCCCGTTTTAGAGATGAATATTGAATGCAAAAGCTCTCTGGTAGATGTTTGGTGTCGGTGCTAAAGATGACAAATTCAGCGTCAGACACTGACTTCTCCCAGCTCAAACCGATAAGCTGCAGTCTGATGTAATGGGGGATCACACACAGCCAGAGAAAACCCCATGCCAGCCTTGGCAGTTGCTTCACATACTGTACTTTCCCTGTTTTGAAGATCAGCCCCACAACAACAACAGCACTGCGTGTTGTATGACTTACTGTAGTGTGTTGATCTGTATTTAATCCACAAATATTTTTTGTAAGGTCCAGTCCAGCAAACGTGTCGTCCAGCCACTTTGTAAGTTTCATCTGCCTCCCAGACATAACAATTAAAGCTGCTATAATTTTTTTGTGTAATGTGCTAAATACAGAAGTAAAAAAATATACTTTTAACAGCACAGTATGCTTAAAGTGCAGGGCATCGTTGTTTTATAATAGGGCAACTCTATTTTCATTAGAGTTGCTTCTGTTGTTCCCTCCAGACTGTTTTAACAGGACAATTTTTCATCTTTTTTTTCCCCTCACTTTGTTGGTGTGAATATTTCTTGCTAAATATCTTGCTCTCCCCACATTGTACCAGGGCCTGAGCGGGTTTAATTTCCAGGAATATAACAGCTTCCTTTCTTAATCAGACTAGACAGATCTTAACAGATCTCGTATTTAATCTCGGCTCTCATCTCTGTTTGCTTGTACTTTTTCCTTGGATGCCTTTGCATCTCTATATTCCTTGTAAGAGGGCATTGGATGGTACCGAGAGTCCAAGGATATCAGTTGCTCAAATGACAATGCAATCTAGTGAGTCCTAGTTGGTCCTTTTGGCCATTTAGACTTTTGACTCTGTCCATCTGTCCTCTTCTCTTTCGTCTGATATTTTATTCACAGTATTTTTCTTGCATAGTATGCAGTTCGCGTCTAGAGGTGTGTATTTCTCCAGCAGGTCTTTATTGAAGGGTGCACTGGATACTGTAGCTAACTGTTCCTTTCTGGAAAGGATAGTGGGCAACCCCACAGTCCTTTAGAGAGCTATTGAGCCAGCTGGCTGCCCAGACAGCTAAGGTGTTGCTCTGTGAATCATTACCCACGCATTTACTTGATCCAAGTTCCATGTTGATTTTACATGGGAAAACAGTAACTACACTTCATGTGATAAAAGTAAGTAAGTTATCAGTTGTTCAAGACACAGTACCTGTTAGGTAAACCTTCATGGTGCATCGTTAGCTTCATAAACCAGTTTTCTTTACGAGCATTTCTCTGCAAACGTGCACTAAGTAAAGGGTATCATTCAACCGTAATCTTTAATTGTGTTTTTAGTTTGTAGTTTGAATTATTTGGATGTATGAAATAGTTATAAAAAAGTGTTTGCCATCAGAGGCAGCCTGTGTCTGAGTTAAACCTGTCCCGCTATGCGTGGGATAAGGCTATGCGTGTTGTGGTAGTTGGATTTTGAAGGCTATGAGCACAAGGGGATTATTCACGGCTTGGCGGTTGTCTGCCCAAAGGATAATGTGATCAGACAGTGCGGGTTTCCAAGTGCTGTGACAGCTCCTTCTTTTTATTGTATCTTTCTTATTCAATAATGCAGAATGTCTGTGAAAGCTAAGAATGGGTAATACAGTCTGATAATTCTGGCTCTACATTCCCAGCACATTCTGAAGAACATCGCACAGAGACCGGGAGGCCTCAGTTCCACGCTGGTGAACACGTTGAAACAAGTGACCAATAAAACGGCCTCATTTTGCATGTTGTTAAACATTTATGAACAGTAGAAGTGTCTCCAGCTAGGTACAGACAGGCCGTGTGTCTTTCTGTTGAAAGTCAGTGATCTTTTCTCTCTTTCCTTAGCATATCCATGAGCTCCAACTTCCAGCACTACAGCTTCAGAATGCCTAACATCGGGTTTCAGAATCTGCCCCTCAATATCTACATCGTGGTCTTTGGGACAGCCATATTTGTTTTCATCCTCAGTTTACTCTTCTGCTGTTACTTGATCAGGTAAGAGAAAAGTAAAGCCCTTTCAAATTCCCCATGATTTTTTCCACATCTATTTTTTGAGGTAATTTATCATTACCTGTAATTAAAGATGAATGTTTCATTTTCTCTGATGACTGTATATTTCTTGTTTCACTTCAGCTCTGCATATTCATTTGTTAATGAGTGTTTCATTGTTGACATAGACCTGAAAGCACTAACACCTTATAACTACGACATAGACAGGCCTCTAAAATGCAAACAGTTCACATGTCATTGTCAAGTTCAAAATCTTATGTTTTATTACACTAAGTGATTTATGAAAAAAATGCGAGTTCAACATGCTTGCTAGGTCCACAGTAACTCATTCAAGATATGTTTAAAAATAAAATACAGTAAAAAGGATGAACTGAATGCTTATTGTTGGGGGCAAGAATATATATTTGACCAAAGCCTCAGTTTTCTGTGCTGTGCGTTAAGACATACAGTAATTTATTTTTGAAGAGAAAATTCTTCCAAAAAAAGGGAGAGCATTTCTTAAATTTTCAGATGTCTCAACTTTGTCAAATTTATAATTGCTGTCGGCATGTTTTCTGCGCTGTACATTCACCCACCACAATAAAATTAAGATTGTTTTGTCACAGTTTAAACTGTTTTCATTTTTTTTTTCCTTTGCTTTTTCTTTTATCAAAATGGGTTTTGTGGCACTTCACATTTTTGAGGGAACTGTGCTACATCATTTAAAACTAGTGGGATAACTTGAGAGAATTTACAGAAAGAGTTACAGAAACTGTTTTTTATTTTTCTTATCAGCTCTTTAGCCTAACCAAAGACAAGGAATCTGTGCTTAGTTTTCACTATTAAGAAAGTGGTTCATCAGTTATCTTGCTTAGGTTTCTTAATTCCATAAAAGTTTCAGGGTTTTCTTTTAAATATCAAAACTTTAAATTTGGTTGTAGTGTGTCTTCCCTTTTTCTCAATATAAGTAAAAATAGCTCCCTTAATAAAGAGACACAAATTGAAAAGGGCTAACTATGTATACATCATAGGATTGGTTGAAATGCAACATGTATAAAATCTGACCCAAACGTAATATATTAAAAGAATCCAACAGGTGGGTTATGGCATTCTTATATTGATAAGATGGGCTGCTGCCTCCCTCTCATTTTCTTTACTGCATCTCAAAACAATTTTAATATAAAGGAGCAAGTAATAGGTTTATTCCATGCTGAAAAGAGAAGAAAGAAAACACAACGTTTCAGCCGTAGAGCCTTCTTCAGGTGTGAGGAAGAAGGTCACACCTGAAGAAGGTGCTCACACCTGAAGAAGGCTCCGCGGCCGAAACGTTGCGTTTTTCTTTCTTCTCTTTTCAGCATGGAATAAACCTATTACTTGTTCCTTTGCAGCCTACGTACAGTATGCTGAAGCAGCTCCCCACCTGAACTACTACAATTTTAATGTAATTTTTTTAATTGAATATTTTGAAAATATTCACCTGAGCTTAACTCCCTCATTTTAGATCTGTCTTTTCTTACAAGGTAAAAAGAAAATATCATCAGATTTGATTATACCTTTACTGTAAGAATCCAATAGTATCTGTTGCAAGCAGTCAAAACAGCTCTATCATTGTCTTCTGTTCTCAATTATGATCTACACCATTAATGATGGATCTAAAATAAGATGCATCTGTTGTTCTTAATGCATTTACATAACTCTTTACATAATGCAAATAACATACTCTGTCAATAGCTCATTTAATGTGTTTAGGTATGAAAAGAAAATACCATCAAATAATATCAGTACTTTGCAAAATGCATTAAAAATAAATTGAGGCATTGATGCCATTGTGTTGGGGTTTTTTTTTACCATTTTTTTTTCTTTCAAGGTGCTTTGGTATTAATTTGTGCAACTAATTAATTGTTTGCCAGATATTAACAAAAATGCTTTACCCCGCTGATAAAAAGGGTCAATCAGCACAGTTTGGAGAAGGTAATGAATTACTGACTTGATAATCTGAAAAATCCACCAATGTTTTCAACGTTTGTTTTGTTCTAACAGACTTCAGATGAAGGGTACAGAAATGCTTAGTTATATGTGCAGTATTTACTTAGCCTCTAAACAGTTAAGGCTTGAAAAGTATTTTAAAACCAGCTAAGTTTTTTTTTTTCTGTTGTGCAGAAATACAGTAGAGGCATATGAGTTTATTGGTAACTTATACTTTACAGACTTTCAAAGATTAACCAGTTCATTTTTACCAGATGGGATGGTTACAAACATTATACAGTAATTAAACTGTGATTTAAAAGGCACCATACAAGCCCGAATACAGCTGTTATTTTTTCAGTGCAGTAAAGAGACAGCGTACACAACTCGGTGTATTCATTAGTGGGGGAAAATACAAACAGAAAGGAATTCTTGCCTTGGCCTTGTGATTGGCCTTCTGTGGCACATTAGTGTGTCTGCTGGACTACACTGGTGTTCGTTGGGCACGTCTGCTCAGTTCTGAATGACTGGCCTTGCTGACCCTCGGTGCACATGGCCTTTCAAAAGCACAGTCCTGTGTTTTCATTGAGACTGTAGATAGCACTGTCTGGAGTAACACTGCTTCACATCTATTTCTGTTCTTGTCCTAGCAATGTTTTGACTTGGGTTCAGATTAAGGTCTTAATCAGTTCTCTTCCCTATTAACTTATCTGGTGAAATAAAGGAAGGAAGCAGTTTCTGATATGCTAAGCAGGTCACAGGACAAGGGCTGGTATTACTGGGGAATTTTAAGGACAGAAGGACTGTTTGCTCTGTGTCAAGAACTATGGACACAAACTCCCAGAAAACACTGTTGGCTGACAGCAATACTCAAGAAGTGAAGCAGTGTGAAGCAGCAGTGCTAAACTAGGGGGCGGAAATCATGGATCATATACCTAGTGGAGTATTCACAGCACTGCACAAATTTACTTAAAATACTAAATTAACACGAAACCAGTCCGTGCAACATCAGCCTGGGTGGTCATGAAAGCCCTGATGGCAAGGCCCGTCTCTCAGTTTTGCTAGATAACACATGCAGTTGTAGCATTTCATGCCAAACACCGTGAGAAGGCAGCTTTCAACCAAGTACAGCCTGGCCTCTTGTAAGCCAAGCATCAGGGGAAATTGGTAAGTTCCTTTCAAATTTATTGAATGTTTCTCAGTAAAGTACAGTACTTAAAAATGTATGGAACTGTAGTTTTACCTTGATTTGCTCCTGAAATGGTGGTCAGATTACCAAGTCATTGATTGTGTGTTGATATACATGAATGTAAAAGCTTTTAAAGATGCAGTCTCCCTGTACAGTGTTATTCTGTAATGATTATTAAATCTTACGACTTGTAAATAAATACAGTAGGCCTTATGGTTACTTTGCTAAAGTGCTTTTATGTTGGAGAACTCTCTTTGTTGGCCATTGAAGACGGTGGACAGTTACTGTAACTTAATGCTTATCAGCACATGTTCTGGAGGAAATAGTTCCCAGAATTCTTGTCTCTTTGAAGGCCCGTTTTAACAGGATGTAGACAAATAAAATCAGATAATAACATGCCACATTGAAAACAAGCTCCTTTTTTAGTCAATGCAAACAGATCAATATTAATACAATACTCAATACTCAATAATCAATACTCATACATCAGAAAGACCACCGAAACTAAAATTATTCAGCTAGGATCACACATTCTCCCTTCCCTTAACGACAGACTACTGTTCTTTTACATTTTCTCCATTCATTGGAAGTTTCATTTCACACCTCTCTGCACCCATTCTGACTTCACACCTCTTGATTGGCCTCTCTTTCTGTCCCCTGCTCCCGCCTCTCACTCCTCCTCCCAACCTTTGTTCTCCCACTACTTTACCTTTGCCTACTGCACTGTCTCTCTCACACCTGAAGAAGGCTCCACGGCCAAAACGTTGTGTTCTCTTTCTTCTTTTTTTCAGCATGGAATAAACCTATTACTTGTTCCTTTGCAGATCAATATTAAGTCAAACCAAACCACAAATCATCTTATCCTAGTTAAGATTGATTGTGATTTGACCATTTTAGTTTAGCAAGTTCCTTGTTTGCTTTCAGCCCTTGTGAATAAAATGTAGAAATACTACTGAAGAACTTAAGTGTTCAGATACTGAGAGCAGCTCATTTTTCTCCTTTGACCAATCAAGAGAGAATAGTACAGTGGTTTCCTACTGATCTACGTAACTACACAAAGACTCTTTACATTTCCATTGCTTTAGAATACTGTTGAAATACAGATGAGTAAATAGTTAAACATTTTGTGTGGAACAACATGTAATATAAGTGCAACTTTCCAAGTCATGTCATTTCAAATTCATTCTAGAATTAGACAGAACATGTCTATATTAAGATTTTTGCTGGGCAGTCCGTGCAGGGGTCAGACTTGGAGTCTGCCTGTGAAGGGCTTCCCTGTGTCAGCTGCATAGATAAATGACGAAGACGTGTTAGAAGAGAACTTGACGTCTGTGTGCCATTGCCCTGAAAAACTGCACTCCATCGAGAGATTCCACCCCTCAGATTGCAAATAGGTTAAACAGAGATACTGTTTATTTAACTGTGATTCTCTAAGGAAAGAGTTTTTAACCCTTTAAAATTAGTGAAGAAAAGTGTGTCTTGCTGGAGCAGTTTCTGTTAGCACACTGTTATACTGAAGTGCAGGTTTTATAAGTCTAGCAAACGTACTGTTTTTCACTGCTTTGAAATGGCCAGTTTTAGAGAATATTCTCATTTCCATTTGCCTTTTTAAAAGGGAGTTCCTGCACCTTTACCTGCTGGTCTCTTTCAGAATGACAGCTCTGTTTTGAGGCGTTGTTTTCTCCTAGACTGTGCTGCCTGTTTTACAGATTTCTCTCATTGAACTCGGGAGAGGTTAAAGTTACTAGTAATGGAGGTAAATCTAAAAACTGTTTTCTCTTTTTTATCAGTTTATGTGGTTGAATACTCAAGCAGCATGGTCTAAATTGTATTCCTGTGTGATATTTTTGTTTTATTCCGTATATATCCTCTTTAAAACTGTATGAATGTGTTGTCAGCGTTTGTTTTGAGTACTGAACTCACTGTGACTGAAAATCAAGTCATGTTTTAATCAATAATAAATTCTAAATTAACACAAAGCAATGTATTTTTGAAATTCCCTCTTGTGGGAGTGTGATTCTTAACTCAATCATCGAGAAGTACAGTTGAGTTGTGGTTTCTTGCATCAGATGCATCAGATTTTGGTGAATGTGAACTATACTATACTGCAGTGTTTTTTCCAAGAAGCTGCTTTTAAAAAGCAACAGCCACATAAAATACATAAGGCAGGTGCTTGCACATCAGCATCTTCCATTATGTAGCAAGATCAAAGGGTTACAGATTTTATCAAGAATTCTGTCATAACACAGTTGGCTGCTTTCAACTGTTAGTGGTGAATTTATTCTTTGATATGTCAGGTTAATAAAGAACTTCAAAAGCATGTGTTCAGTTTTATGGTTTTCTTTCTTTGCACTTGGCTCTCAGGCCTGGCATTTCCTTATTTATAGACTATATAGCCTCTCACTGCTGCCTAAGATCTGTTAGATTTTCAGAAGCATCTACTGTTATTATCTGTTAAAAACGATCACATTGACTGCTGCCGGGAAAAAAAATCTAAATTATCCTCATAATAATTGAAGCAAAGGTGGGAAACTGAAATATCTTCATCTTCTTGACATCAAAACACCTCCTAGGTTTAATCAAGCTGTCCTGGCAAATCAAGTACTGTAAATTAAAGAGGCAGGTGCAGATGGATTTGAACTCCTGGTGGGGGGAGGGGGGAGTCTTTACTGTATCAATATAAAATAAATAAATCTGAGGTATGGAATTCCTAAGGATATGAGAAATGAACAGCGTGTTGAAAGAGTAGTGTACTGTATGTCTAAGTGTCTGGGTTTAATCCAGCCAAGAGAGGAAAATGTTGCAGGAATATCAAGTTGGAAGCAGCCAACATCTTAGGTGTTGTATTAAGATTTTAAGTAACCCATGGTTTTTAAAATACGGTGCGACACAGAAAATGAATTTCCAAAAAGGAAATGGGTTGGCAGTGTGTCAGATTTGTGTGATATTTTATGGTCACCCTCAACAAATTTGGACTCTTAAGACAGACCCCAGGTTAAGATGTCTCTCGCAAAATGTCTGTTTTTGATGTTTATTGAAAGTTTCAACTTCTTTGGAGAGGTTTTGTATGTTAACATGAATAAGAGAAACTAAGTGTATGGAAATTTCATCTTCCTTTTAAGCTCCTCTTTTAATGTCCTGATTAAAGAGATTAAGCCGTGTTGCTATCGACTTCCTTCAAGTTGTCTAAAAATATACAAGACATGACAGTTGCTGCTACTCTCAACTCTCTTAGTTTCGCCTTCTGCTTAAATTGTGACTGTTAAACATCTAAAAAGTAGACAAGGGATCTATTTAGTGACAGTTTTTTGCTTTAGGTTCACATCGATATAAATAAGAGGAAACATTGTTCTAACACATAGGGTAACTGCTAGAAAATCCTGGTTCACTTGTGCTGAATACAGTTTGTGCCTGATAATTCACTTGACTTTCCACATTAAATTAAAATTACAGCATCTATGTCAAGCATTAAGATAGCTAATATTTTTGCTATTAACATCTCCACATGCGACTACTACAGCTGTTTTGAATGTACCTTTAATTTTAACTTGCTAAACAAGGTCATTTCTTTCCTACTGCAACAAATATGGCATCCCCTTGTTACAGGTTTTCAAAGAAGCAGTGTCATAGTACAGATTGTATTACGTAGCTGTGACCATGGTGCGTGTTTCTGAAAAAATGTGTTTTCTTTGTTCTCCAGGTTACGACATCAGGCACACAAGGAGTTATATGCTTACAAACAGGTAACTATGTTTGAATGCCCACATTTTTGCTTTTCCAAGTGCTGGGATGTATAAGGTCATTTCCTGTAAAGAAATTTGAGATTTCTTTCATCCTTGAGGGTTTTTGGGATGGTTCATCATCGCTCCTTGAATTTATTCCCATGAGTTCAAAAGTTAGATGAGCAGGTTTTCGCACACATGTTCAGAACAGTCTTGTTGCCACTGCAGCACTGAATAGCTTTGTGGCTCTGTGAAATATTCCATGTTTAATCCAGAAATTCACAGAGGCATGTCTTTTGCAAGTTTTAAATATGCACTCAATTTCTAGGCTAGGGTGAAACTCAAACCACAACCTTAAAGGTCTAATTACAGGGGAAATGTAACACACTTTAATTTTCACGACACTGTGACTAAGCTCTATTGTTACATAAACCCTTGTCAAGGGCTGTTTCAATTTTCCAGCTATTTTTATAAATTTTTTTTCTCCTTTACTGGCATAGATACCGTATGTGCCCTCACTTCATGAACAAGAACGCAAGACGAAAATGACTACTATTAAATATTTATACCAGTTAGCAAGACCTTCTGTTTCTGATCTCCAGCATTTCACTAATTTCAGTAGCAGTGTTGTGTATAAAGCTTTCTTCAACCCAATATCTTCTTTTTAGCCCCTGCAAGTTTGTCATCTTCAAGTCTCAGATATGTCTTTTGGTTCTAGATGCATGGCACTTGTTTTCTGAGATGAGCTAAAGAATCCATCTTTTTAACAGTGCTGGTGCAGTCTCGTTTCTGAAATGAGCACCAGGCTGCAGTGGTTAATTAACTATATAATTTTACCCTTTATTCACATACTATGGGTGGATTTCTTTGAATCTTATTTCAGATTGTGTTTTAGATAAATAAGTTATTGTTTGATGTTTAGATCTGGTTTCCTTTTTTTATTTATTGAGCAGTTATATTAAGTCCCTTTTCTTTCTCAGGTTCTGAATATTTCAGTTTTAGATGTCTTGAAAACTGTTTGTTTGAGTGCTTACCTTTTCTTAATAAAGTCATTTAATATTCAGCTTCCAGCAGGCTTCATAGTCTTGTTGCCTTCTGTCCTTCATTAAGTCTGGAATTAAACCAGCACATCCATGTTTAAAATGGTTGTTCATACACATGACAGCTGTTGTTGGGTATATACAGTACTATGCTCCTGACATTCAAAGTTTTGTTCGCTGGCATGAAGGATGTTGTCTTCTGACTAGTGCAAACCTAAGTCTTACAGATTTTTCTGTCATTTTTTCAGGTTATTCAGAAGGAAAAGGTGAAAGAACTAAATCTACATGAGGTGAGCTTGGTACTATTTGTTGATTTAAACGCCTGTGATAAGCTGGTGTTTACTGGTCTGGTAAAAAAAAAACTTCAAAATCACATAACATAATGAAAACAGTTGTGCAGATGTTCTTAGGAAAACCAGAGGAAGTTCTGATGGAAGTTTTTGCTGACGGTGACAAATATATATATATTTCTAAATAATATATTAAAAAATGTCAGTCTGCTGCCAAATGTTTCATATGTCCCTGGCTCACAACAGCAGCCTTCAAGCATCTGTCCTGTCTGGACAATGTGAGAATATTGGACACATTGATTCTCTGTTGCAGGCTTGCCGTGCTAACTACAAAGAAACACTTTTGTAACAAAAAAGTTGTTTTTTTTTTGTATATAATAGCTGACTTTGTGAGCGCCATTCAAGAAGTGTGTGTGTTGTGTGTTGTGTGTTCAATTTGTATGCAAGTCGCGAGTTGCATTCTTGGGAGCTGGGGCTTTTTTATATTGCTATCATATGAAACTGATGGAGAACTGTGGTTCCTTTCTTCCTCCTGAGAAGCATCATACTTTCTTGTTGATTTTCCCAAGGAATCTTCTTTCCTGGAGATGAATTGTTTATAGAGAAAAATAAATTGGGGAATTTTAATGAGGGTTGGTCATGGACTTGACTCATTTGTCAGTTCACTGATTTATATAGACATTGCTCTGTTTCCTTAATTTTAAGAGGATATCAATAAGTTCTTCACAGACGTCAAGTCTCACCCCAAGAAGATCACATTATGTACTTGAAGTAGGTTAAGTTTGGACGCTACGCGGTGTGCACAACTTAAACTTAAAAAGATAAAAGGCCATTTTTATCTGTGCGAACCTTTTTGTAAAAGCTAAGGTGAGCATGGTGTTCTGGTTAGGTCTCTTGTTTTTGTAATTAAAATTCAAAACCAGAATGTCCAAACCTCAAGCTCATATGATAAAAATCCTGTTTATTAAGCAAGTTAACTGATGGAAACACCAATTTTTAGAAAGTAAAAATCCAAATCTACAGGACAATGCGCAATAGATGCATGTTCTTACTGATTGTCAGTCCATTTTTAGGGCTGCTTACTGACAGCTGTTTTAATTTGTGTACAGCAATAAGAGGATTCTGTAAGTAATAAGCAGAACATTATATAAGTATAATATTTTTATTCATGGTATTTTGTTTTCAATGATCAGGAGAAAGTGTAGCATTGCTTTCTTTAATCTGTATAAAAAAATCAGGTTTAATCAGTAAAGTATCAGTACAGTAAAGTATAGAACACTGTTTTATAAACACCTATGTTATTAGTCTATGCATGGGTTCTTAGATTGTAAATAGAACCAGCTAAAAAAAATCACTTGCTGCACAACACTGGTGTAGCACATGTGACAGTTCAAATATGCTTGAATCTTCCCAATCTGTAATTTCAGAAGGACAGAAAACAGAAAAAAGTTCTGCATATCCTTCCTGTAATCTTGAGTGACTGGTGCTTATTTAGTTCCTTCCTGAGAACCAAGATCCTTGGTGCTCTTTCATCACTTGACACATCCAAGCTAATGCAATGTTCTCAGTGACACTATTGTTTCAAGACACACCTAGTTATTCCATTTCTTTCCAGTATCATTGGAATGCCATCCATTGTGGGGAAAAAAATGCTTTTGCATAGTAGAACGCTTCTCTTTTTCACACGTATAATATGCAGATCAATATACGTTCAACTGCTGTGCCAACATGTGAGAATAGCATGTTCCATAGGAGTTCCCAGGGTAGTGGGAGGACCTGCCACAGTGTATACGTGTATATAAGTGTAAGCAATTATTTATTATTATTATTATACCCTCATTCTTAAGGCCTGTAAAGTAGCAGCAGACCAGACCTTTTCCTCACTGTGCTGTGAGGAAATAGAAAAGGAGGCTGCTGTGAGACATCTCATGGGAGTTATGGTTGTTGATGGACGTATCATCTGGTGCATCACTTCGAGCAGTAGCAGATGGTGTTTCAGTTCAGACGCCCTCAGGGATTTACAACGGGAAACAAGTTTTAGGGCACAGGGGTGCGCGTTAGAAATGGTGCTGCAGCTTGTTGCAGCTCATCTCTCATTATAGCCTGGAGGTGGACTGACAGGCATTCTCTCTAATATTTTTGTAGACGAGTAACAATTTTATTCGGTAGAGAAATAACATTTCAGAATAACATTAATTTCTTTGCGAAAGCAAAAGTATTCTCGAAACTCATTTGTATAGACAAGTTATTCTGGATAGTTCTTTTCGCTATACTAATGGTTTAGTCCCTAGTCTGTTTATTTTTAAATCTACATTGATCTACCTGATGAAATTACATATGTATGATACATTGCTGTTGACATGCACATGCAAAGATTTATTTTACTTCCTTTTATGTTTTTGAACTCTAAAAACAAACCTGAAATGCTTGCATAGGTATCGTTGGGCTCTTGATGTTTGAGGGAGGGAGTTGGTTTTGATTTGAATCAGCTTTTTCATGTGCCTCCTCCACACTTAACACTAGAGCTTTTCCGGACATTGCTTTCTCCAGCAGCAATGTCTTGGAAAACTGGCTCTGAATTTCTGGCTGTCGCCCTAAAGTCTTGTTTTAGGAGGCAGGATATGACATGATCAGGAGCTTGGAATGCAGATAGCTGGATAGTTCGAATTTTCTGGAGATGCTGAAATATCTTCACAGTAACTTCGAACAATCCTAACAATAAAACTTAACAAAAGAAGAAAAGATCTTGTCAGGAACTTAGTGCTGGGAAACCGGCTGATTGTCGCAGCTGAGAACTCCACCTTCTTGTCCAAGCATGTTGCAGTATCCTCCTAGCAACAACAATGATCAAGGGACTTACTCATCAAAATGATCTAAAACTATCAACATTTCATCAGAGAGGACTCGCACACGCTCAAGGGCACACAGCTCCTCTCTGGAGCCCTGTGGGGTCTGATCTGCAGCAGGTAGAGTCTTCAGCAGGTTCCAGGATCCTGCCAGTGGGCCAGAAGTGTATCCTCTCTGCTCCCACGAATCCTGGTCTACCTTTGATCCCCCAGCCTGACTTTCAACACCTCAGTGCTACAGCATAAGTCAACCCTCACTAAAGATACACTGGTGCGCTAGTGCTGCTGCTGAGCCTAGCGGAGAGCCTGAGACTGCCCTGGGAGAAAAGGGCTGTCTCCCAGTAGGTCCTGGTGTGTTTCTCTTAAATGTCTGAGAATGTCATCTTTTGTCCAGGTGGTAAGTCACTTCCTGTTTAGCCTCCAAAACCTTGATAGATGATCACTGAAGAAAGTCTCTTCTTCCAGAATGGGAAGGAAATGGCATTTCAACCTGCAAGCGAGGTACTAGCCACTCGGGAAGTGATCAGTTACTCAAGGACATGATGATTTTATTCAGTAAATTTAACTTTTAATTATTTTGTCGTAACCTCGGTAAAACTGAGTTTTTTAAATAAAAGAGTAAAAATTCCATGAGCCTTTTACATTCCCGGAATATTTCACATTAAAATTTTCAATTAGCAAAGTCATTGTAATATACTGTATGTGCACATGCACATTGGTAGGCTTTATTTACAAACCAAAGAAGAACTTAATTCTATAACCCATTATGTTGGGAGTAATGAATTTTACTCTTAACTTTGTTTTATTCCCCAACTCGCTCTTTTTGTGCTAAATTTTCATATTCAGACAGTTCTTTTGGTCTGCAGTTGAAGACTTCCCTGTGAGTGTGCGCACGTTCCTTTTTTTATACAAAAGGCCGCCAGACTGAATTTCCCTCCACTGTGCACCAGAGGCAGGTTCGTGTCTGAGGTTTCTCACCCCCCGGCCCAGAAGGTCACATGCTTACAGCTCTCTGCCGTCCAGTTCACTCAGCCACCGGAGGGCCTTCATGCATGGAGTGTCCCACATGGCATCACAGCCCTTCACAGAGCTGACTACATGCCTCCTTTGTGTGGCACTTATTAAATACGCATGCCACAAGTACTGTGAATGAAGAGACCAGACCTGCCCAGGCATTTCTTTATTTTTGAGAATAAAAACTCACATATTCAAATATTGTTGATTCCATGCTATTATTTGCACATCAGAAGCTGATGTTGGCTCATGATGGCATTCTGCATATTTAATTTCGCAGCACTGTCATTTAGCACATATCTCTAGCTGCTCAGCAGAGTTGAAGTGGCAGATCATTAAAATTTCAAACCGCGCCTGACTCTCGCTCTCACCTCTTTGCAACACGATCACACTCATCGGAGGAATGCAGCTGGGATATTACTGAGAAACCCAGATAGCAATTTTGGAAGTGATGTGAGAATCGACGGGGCAAATTCCAGGTGTAGAGCCAGTTTAGTTCCTTCTGGATCATTGTAGCGCAGGGCTGTACACTTGAAATAAATGGGTGTGCTAAATTAGAAAACCACAATCTCTGTTTATTGGCAAAGTAATAGCTGGTTGCCACACTCTGTTATAGTACTTAAACTGTAAGGATAAGAAAAAGGATTGCATTAACAATCAGATAGGCTGAAAGATAACCTTTAATTAGTTTTTAACTAGACCTTTAATTAGTTAAGATCACTAATAGATACGATTATCTATTATTAATTATTAAACCTGTTTTGTTGGAAACACTGGAATGCTGCTATAGATTATGAAGTAAATACCTCTAATGGGGGGGGGGAATGTTGAGCTTCTGCTCAGGTTTTTTCTAAAGTACATAGTAGGAGGAGAGGCTAAGCCTGTCATGATTGTGACATGTGAATGATTCATTACCCTCACAGGTGGTAACGTCCACATACTTCTCAGTCCAAAGTACTGTACACCATATAACATTACAGCCAAATCTACATGGACAGGTGGTGGTGAAAAGTCACTCATTGTAACACTGGTGATGATGATCATATCTTGTTCTGTTGTCTTTGTCAAGCTGAGTTACAAACCGGTTCAAAACTGGTCCCATCAGATTTTTCTTTCATTGTAATTCTGACATGACAATATATTTTTCCCATACTCTTTATATAGCCTTTTCTCTTTTTATATCAGTCCAGATTCCCTTAAGGATTCTGTGCTGAAAATCATTTCAGTACCCAACAAGATTACCCATCTCCAATTTCCCATTTAAAAGGTAACTCTTTTTGGCATGGATCTGAATTTTGGTGTGAATTTTCTAAACCTCCATGTTGCCAGGCTCAGCTGCTCAGTCTTCAGAGAGAAGAAGCCAGCTGATCTTGCACAGCTTTACACAAAAGGGAAGGGAAGGCGAAACTGGATCTGGGATTGCCACTTTGTTGCCGCTGTAGTTCCATATTGTTTTTTTTCAGTTATATGAAGAAATGGGTGATTTTGTTTGCCTTCTGTGTCAAGAATGTCAAGATGTTCCTTTTTTTGTTCTGTGCTGCTGATGAACATATCGACCAAGAGAGAGGACGTCTGCACCTGCAGTTTTCCTCTCAAGGAGACACATGTTTCTGCAGGGATTCATTTGTTTTTTTTGGCGGTTGAAATGGCGAATTTGCACTCACACTGCCTGGAGATATTAGAAGCTGGCTTAACTTCAGATGCAGTAGCAGGTCAAAGTTTATTGCTCATCAAAATGTAATTTGGAGCGATGTGTGCTACTCTGCAAAGAGACAGGCATTATATGCTGACTAAATTCTGTTAGAACCAAGTGAAATTGTTTTGTTTGTTATTGTGCCCATTCTAAAGCCTTATACAGATGCAAAAGTTAAAGTCACCGTGTTTAATTTGGACATGCCTCAAATGTGGTTTCATTTGAAGTGTTTTTGTTATTTACATGTGTCCCTTGTCATAATAAAAGTCAGGATCTGAGTAAACTATAATGACACCAAAGCCAGCATAATTATTGCTTTGTATTTACTGCAGACGTTAAGCATAGAAACTGCCACAGTTCTCAGTTGAATGATATTACATTTTTATTACAGTTACCATTGTGAGCCTGGGACTGAAGAAACATAAAGCATTAGTGTTTTTCTTTTTTTGGTTGCACAGAATTAATAAAAAGGACATAGTAGAGATCTTAAAGAGTTGACTGGAAAGTGAAAGTTTTAAGTAGATGTACAGTACACTCTTCATTAACTTTTAATTCATTTTAACCTGAACTAAACATTGGTAATGCGACATTTTTATTCTAAGATCTGTTGGCATTTTTTTTTTCCTTTCAGATCTGTGCAGTTTGTTTGGAGGAGTTCAAGCAGAAAGATGAGCTGGGAATATGCCCATGCAAGCATGCCTTTCACAGAAAGTAGGTATAAACTGGAGCCAATAACAAAAGCATCTGTAAATGGCATGAGTGCCGTGTGACAGTGTAATCTGCCCATGAGTTCTAATTATAGACTTATGTTAATGAGTGCCAAGTGATAGCTCTTACTGCCTTTCTCCTTTCCTGAATGACTAATACACCCTGCTGTGTTGCAGCATTGTTTAGAAATGTATGAGTTAGAATACACACAACATAAAAGATTTTCCAGTACGATCTCATGAGTGTCATGAGTCCACTGATAAATATTACTATAGTCCACTGATAATACCTGGTAAATTGATTTTTTTTCTAGGTTAGCAGGTAACTTTTAAAACTGCCAGTTATGTTTGCTTTTGTTATGTTGCCATTAGTTTGCAGTCTGTGAAGGATTTCTCAGGCAGAGCTGACACAGGTATATTCTGCCTTCAAGTAGATGTTCGTTTCTGGTTGGCAGCCATTTCTAATCTCAGGGTACAAAATTGATCTTTAATAATAAAAACAGTAATAATAAACATTTTAATAAATATTTTTTTACTGCCACCATTCAGATAAAGGAATTGTGATAAATTATTTCTTGCATCTGTTGCTGACAATATTTTTGTGAACTGTTAAAAAGAGGTCTTTTTCTACACAGCAAAATATTTTTTGATCTAGTCCTACAAATAATATATTAAACCAGCGCATTGGATTTATTTAGATACTTAGATGTCTTTGTCAGTTAACTAGTTTGTGGTATTTCAGCAATTGACAGTACAGAATTCTTTTCCTTTTTGGATTATGTTTTATATGTTATATGTGCCATTCTTAAAAAGAATGAGTGTTTTTTCGTGAGTGTTAAGTATTGTGAAAGAAATATGTGCCCATCTAATGAAATAGTGTTCATCCAGAAAGTAAGGATACATGTACAGTAAGTATAAATGACATATCGATAGACAGTTCTTTTAATCCTCATTTAGTATAGGTATCACCGTTATCCTCTTCCAATCTTTCCAGCCCCTCATCTGTCCATCCTGTGGCGATCCTGTGGGAGCTACAGTATATTAAAAATCATCATTCTTGCATTTACATATAAATTGGGTCTTTGGCCCTGCTCCCACTTCATGCAGCTCTCAAACAATAAAAATAGCAAAAGCATTGATAAAATAAGTCTCTTAAGTGGCAACATGCCTGGATGAATCCCGCTGGTGTCTGTAAAGTGTTTTCACAATTAGATTGAATAGACTGTGCTTATGGGGATGTTCAGAGACTTCAGTTTTTTTCTACCCTTCGCTTGATTTGCGCTTTTCAATAACTTTATCCCTGTCTTTCTTTGAAAGCTACTTAGATCTTTGTGGTTGAGTCTTTGCTTGAAATTCACTACCTGATCAATGAACTTCACACAGACAGGTGTTTTTATTCTTAAATGATGAGAGCTATTATTGTGCACAGATGGAGCCACCCAACTAGTTATAGTACGTGGCTCATTAAAGTAATTTTATGCACCTACTGTACATTTATTGAGGTGTGCCACAGCCAAGAGCTTTAACACTTATGGAATTGTGACTTTTATTTTCTTCCTTCATATTAGTTGTTCGTTTTTTTGTTTTTTTGCTTTGAAAGTGTGGAATAGGTTCAAAGTGTCTCGACCTCCAGCTTTAAAAAAATATGTTGTCGATGTGTATAAGTGTATATATGGATGTGTATAAGTGTATATGTGGATGTTTATAAGTATATTTTTAACTGCAGTTTCTGTCGTTACCATACGTGACATTGTGTCCCCCATTAGGTGCCTCATTAAATGGCTGGAGGTGAGGAAGGTGTGTCCACTGTGCAACATGCCTGTCCTGCAGCTGGCTCAGCAACAGGGCCACATGGAGCAGCAGGGCCCTTCCCAGCAGCCCCTGCCAGGGGTCGAGAACATGGTGTAGCAGCTTCTGTAGGCCTCAGCGGAAAATCCCCACGTCAAGAAATGCACAGACATACAGTAAAGACAGAAGCAAGAACTTGTTTTCACTATGCAGAGACCGTGTGCACCTGCTGCTTCTTTTCTTGTCTTGGTGGATTCACAAAGATTTTTTTTTCATTTTTATTTTTCCCCTTTTTGCGGACGATGAAGAATAAATCTTTTCCTCACTGGGGCAGGATGTGATCGTTCGGACTGTTTCACAACCACCAAAGCACTTTCTTTTTTTTTTTCTCTCGGACTACCAGCGTAAAAAAAAGAAAAGAAAAAAAGCTGCATTTTATTTTTTAAAGAAACAAACTTTTTTAAACAGCACTTTATAAAAACTGAACCCCAATTGCTTGTGAAGTTATAGAAAGATCATTTTTGTATTATTATAATTAATAATGTTATGACTTTTTTTATTTAGTTCAGTGTGTACAGAGCCACATGTAGCCACAGGGTTACATGTAAATTAGAAGGGACTTAACAAAAAGGGACATGCTTTTTAACAGTGGAATGGAAACAAGAGGGGAGAAAGCAGATATCACATAATTATAAAAGAAGCCACACAGGTTTTGTGGTCTTATCTTGTGAAGAGAATGTCGAAGGACCTCTGAGGACTGGAAGCTGCCTCTATATCCAGAGCAGTGTGGATGTGTTTGTTTCTCCTCATGAAATGTTTTAGGTCATCGATGCTGAGCACAACAGATACAAATCACTGAGAGCAAAGCCTTTTTCTCCCCTCTCTGGACATATCCTCTGTTTCCTTAGTTTTCCTTCCAGCATTTTAAGGCCACATCACCTTGCATGGCATTTTAAACCACTTTGTAAGCTTGAAGCTCGTTACCAGGTATATTTAAAATATATTGCATTCTGTCTTTTCAAAACAAGAACAACTTTGCAAATGCTTTTAAGCTCGTGGCCTTTTTTTAGCTGCATTGTAATAGAGAAAATGAAGAGTGCAGATCATGTTATGCAGATTATGAGTCTAAATAAGGTCAATGTTTATGCCTTGTACACACAAACTTATTACGATTGCATTCAACTTTTGCTCTCCATATGGTAAAGGTACATGCCCAATTCACATAGTGCACTGACCACTCCAAATCTTGTTCAGAGTGAGCATTGAGTTCAGTTACGTAGTTCAGTTTTTACATGTGCATTAAACGTGTGTATGTCTTATAGCTGGACTAAAACAATCACAAGCAGGTGCTACTCAACAGCTGCTGGTGATAATTTCTTTGTTACCTAGTCATTTGTTTTACAATTTGTATAAAATACATCAGTGAGTAAGAATTACTGGCTCAGCATGTCTCTGTTTAAAATTCGGAGAAACAAAATCAGTAGACAAGCCATCTGTTTTACAGTTCTGAATGAAATGGCATCAGCATTAAATGCAGAGACAGCACTAAATGTTGCACAGTGCCTAAACTAAATTTTTAAGTACGTCAGCTAAATGCACTTTACATGTTTGGCTACGTTTAGCTATACTGGACATGTAGAATTAAGACACTTTACCTGATGTGAGTTAAAGATCAAGCTTAATCAAAAGAATGAGGTGTCTTAAGAAGGGTGTATTACTGTAGAGTTATCTTCTGGTGTTGTCTGGTCCTGGAAGCTAAAGTTGTGTATTTGTTTTACAGTTCAAACATTTTTATAATACATACATCTCATTTTTTCCCATGGTGAGGGTAGCTTATGCAAGCCTCAGTCGTCATTTGACTTAAAAGAGTTTCCCCAAGGAAACGGAAAACCAGGCTGTTTTGTTAGTATTTCAAAGGTTTTGATTTGTTCCCCTTTTCTTTTTTGGGAAAAGTCATTGATGAATTCTTGAGATTGGCAAACGATGTGCATCTCTGCGCTGCACGATTCCCTGAGCCCAGAAAGTTAGTAGGAAAGGCTCACCTATGTTTTCTGCTGCATTCTATTAAAGTGTCAGGTTATTGTCTTTGCATTTTAACATTAAAATTTGTGCATTCCTCTTTGGGAGAAAAAATAACAATTTCAATTCAACATTAAGACAATGTATACAAAAGATTAAGGAACAATCTCATGTCAAATAACCTATATACAGTAAGTGGGGGGGCCTTCATACCATTAGCTTCTGCTCAGACATCCTCATTTTTGACACTATGCAAGACATCACAGAATCATCATAGAATTTGTTAATATAGTCATATTAATTGTCTTGCCAGAGTTTTATTTTTTTCATAATTTCTATGGTGATCTACAGAACGATCAGGCTGCATTGTAAGACCAGGTTTTTAAGTTTTAATTTAATCAAACACTATGTGGAAGTGTTGGAGATACCCTACCCTTTGTAGCGCACAAGGCATTAATATTTTATTGACTGCAAATTCAGTCAGAAGGGATGTAGAAAAGCAGAAATCATCCCTTCAGGATTTGTTGTTTTGCAAGCTTTGCATTGTTGGTATCCCAGTTCAATATAGCTGTGCATAGCAGTGTACTGTATCATGCATCACATTAAGTATAGATCAGCATATCAATTTAATGATTGTCCTCACCTGGAGATATTGAAATATTACAGGGGACTCCAAACATGCGTGTTCTTATGGTCCCTAGAGTTTTTGTAACCACACTGTGGATCCATTTGACATACAGAAGTGGTAGTTTCCGAGTTAAAGGATTTAGCCAGCTAACATAAAGCTTTGTAGTGTTAAATAGTGGAGCTGTGAGCATGTTGCACTGAATTGGCTTTTTGATAGAGAATGGGGGGTTTTGTTCTGGCATATTCTTTTGATTTCCGAGTTTGTTTTGTTATTTTGCGTTTCCTTTTGTAATTGCACTCGGCATACCCTTGCTCACTCATGGGTAAACTGCTGTGTGATCTGTTTGAAACAATGGAGGGTACAGTACACAGCAGGGCATGTGTGAATGTGATGTACACTGCATATGGGACTTCACCAACTGTCTCATTGATGTGCTTTTGAGGAACCGGAGTCTTGATTGACCAGCCCCGGAAACCACACAGCATTATGCTTTGGTGCAGATGTGTGCAGTATATTTCAGACAATTAGTCATATGACAATAACAACCCATTAATACAAACTTTTATGCTCTTACATGGGCAAGGATGCAATTTCTTACTTATTTGTATAAAGGTTTTTCAAAGTGGAGTATAGGATCAGGAAAGTAGGGAAATAAAACACAGCTCACTCAGTGTTTATTGAAGCAGTTGATTACAGTATGTTTAATATTTCTTCCTTACAGAAACTTAAAAGCCTGGTCTATAAGAGCTGATTAGTGTATTTTAAATGTTTCCTTAACACAGGAAGCAACGGAATGTGCCTTTAGGTGTCAAAAGTACCCTTCAAGACCTTAATAAACCCACTACTCTTGGAGGTGTAATTTCTGTGTAATTTAGCTATCAAATACTGTTCCCAGTCAAGAACATTTGGCTGGGATAGTGACAACAGAGAAGCATTCGCTTTATATCGTCGTCCTGTGTTGTCTGTTAGCATGAAGGCCTTAGGACACAGTTTTAACATTCTCTGAAAACGGACACTTTTTGGAATGGCAGAATTGACAGCGGGTTTCCACTGGCTCTCCACAGACATAATGACCTGGAGTGGTTAGTTAACAAAGATAATAAAATCTGTCCTTCAGCCAAAGATAAATTTAACGTCACACTTGTATATTTCAAGTCCATTTATATTTATAATTTATATTTTTTAAATATCCATTTGTGAAAGAGACACTACATACTGTAGCACCAGTTCAACACTGATTGTGCACCCCTGTAACACAAAATCTCTTGTAGTTTCAATGTAGCAATATGCGGTTTCACTACATTATAACTCTCACACTGGCACCTTAAATGGTAGTTCTGTTTAAGGGATTATGATGGGTAGTCATAAATATATAATAGTTCAGGTGGGTAGCTGCGTCAGCATGCGTAGGCTGCAAAGGAACAAGTTCCTGAAGAAGGCTCCACGGCCGAAACGTTGTGTTTTCTAACTTTTTTTCAGCATGGAATATACCTATTACTTGTTCATTAATATATAATGACTTTGTCCCATCACTGGTGCAGATATTGTCCTATAGCTTGAAAGTTTTTCCCCAAACTTGTGCTTTCAAAACCTGGAGATGGCTTGGAACAGATATCTAGATGCTTTACTGTGAAAGGTACCTTGTTTTGTAGATGAGTTTTCAAATTGCCTATTATAAGCTTAAACTGTTCATTTACAACAGATTCTTCCATTATAGAGGCCATGTGTTGTAGGTCAGCTGAAATTAATGTCACCCTAACAGCTGACATTTTTGTCTTCTGTGTGGTTTTCCCTGGAGGTGAGAACTGCTGGCTTAGAAACTGTCTCCAAGTGTAGAAATAGTGTGAAAATGCTGAGCTGTGGCAACGCTGTCCTTTTGTAAGGGGAGAGTTCAGGTATTTCTGGGGTTGAAGGTCAGGAGGTCGTCATCTAGCCTCTGCTTCGCATTCCTTTATAGAAGATTGTCTGTTCTTAAAATATTTCAACCCTGCTATTTAGCCAGTAAAAGCGTTTGCCAGCACTTGAGTTCTATGATTCAGACGTTCCAGGAGACTGAGCCTGGGTCATGTCACTAGCCGACTGCGACTGCTGTTCCCCTAGTGGTGACGCACCCCTGGCTAAGTGCCGCCAAGGCATGGTGGGAGTAGTTGTCTAGGGCTCTCTTGGCAAACACAGCGACCCCTGCTGCCTCCTTGGGCATGCTCCCCATCGTTTAGCGCCAAACCTCTGGTATGGGGCTATGTTCCCCACCATGTGTTAAAAGACAAGTGGCTCGAACGTGGTGGGGGAGGTAGGCAGGAAAGTGTCCACATTCTCCCTATGTGCTGTCATGTGGTTCTGGGCTGAAAAAAACAAACCCTTACACATTTAGACATTTATACAATGAACATCTAATGCAATTTAATATGAAGTTCAGAAATTTAAATACAGTGAATATAGCGTATGATCGTTTATTTTTAAAGGAGCTCCTAAAGAGGTAGACAGCCCATGCTCAAAAGAAAGCCTGCCACATTTTAGAAATATCAAATGGAATGAGCACCACACTGACATCTCAGTGGCGACTTTCTAGTAGCGAGCGTGCTCTTGAAGGGCGTGTGAAGATCCTCTGGCAAGACAGAATGTGATGTTTGCAGGTTGAAAGAGGAGCGCTGCAGTCTCTATTAATGTGAATGACCAACCCATTAATAAGAACAGATTTTACATCATTGTACAGTTATTTTTAGGTTTGCTTTAAGACAGACGTGCTGTTGATTTCAGATGTTCTAGACGAGGAAGCTTCTCATAGGGAAAATTAGAAGACAACATCTGGTCGCACTGCAATTAATGTGTACAGGTGGGAGCATTGCAGTTATAATAGTCCTCTGGATAAATTCATGAATTCTTTCAAAATGTTCCACACAGGGAACACCAGGAAAGACTTTGAGCACAACATGTTGCAGCCTTACCAAACAGGCCTCTGCGTTGTGAATCTGAAGTCTACTGAATGTTTTCCCCGGGCTGACTTCACCATTAGAAGACATTGTCCCTTTTTTGTGTCAAAACAGTTGAGTGCCACACCTGGTACGCCAATGTCCTGTATTTGATCCCAGTGATTCTTAAATAATGTACCAACTCTGTAAACAATCTGCTAATTTTGTATGCCAGATCCCAGTCCCTGTCGTGGTGGTACTGTACCACTTTTACCAGCTACTTCTGCAACGTTTCGCAAGCATGTTGGCTCAAATCAGGAGCCCAGCACATTATTCGAGCTCGGATTTAGACTGATGTGGTCCATTTGTTCAGAAAGTGTTAAGAGAATCCAGTATTGAGTAACTAGAACTCGAAAGCTACCTAAATTAAACAATTTATTGTTTCTCCTTCTTTTCCAAGGGCTCCTGACTGTAGAGGGAGGGAATGG